GCGAAGTTTCTTTCCCTGGATCAGACGGCAGACACCTGGGGTTCCATCCAGCTCTGAGAACCCGTGATTCCACTCTTAACAATGGTCTCTGCTGCTATTTTTAAATATGTAAAGGGCTGTCATGTACAAGAGGAGGTGTTTTATTTCAAAAGCATCCAACTAGACCTAGTTGATAGAAGTTACAGGAAGGTAAGCCTTGGCACGACAGAGGAACCACATCCAAACATCTGCAACTGCTATACGATTAATTGTTTCTCAGTCAAGTAGATTCAACGATGGAAGGAAGAGCAATCTGACCAAAGCTAACCCACCAGCATTGGACTACAAACTCCTGGTGTTTAATCCAGTGCTGGGTTCTCTGTCTTATATGCCTCCCCCAATCCAAGGCCACACATACTGGGCAAATCTATATCTTAAAAATCAGAGGAAAGCCATGTATTAGTGACCATGTGCTGAGAGTCCTCCTCTGGTCCTGCTACCATATGACTTCTCTTTTTCTTAGACTCTGTTTTTCAGGGGGAATAATTAAGTTAATATGTCTGTGCTACTCTGAGACCTACAGAAACTAGAATGAATTGAATAAAAACTCTTCTTTATTCTTTTATGACTAAAATATATATTTTATTGTTAATTAAACATACATCAATTTTATTCTCAATTCCTAGCTTCAAAATAAATTAGAAACTTTAATATACACAGCTGATATTAAGTATTAGGCATCTAAAACCCTTTTATTCAGTATTAGTGGGTAGAGTTAATACAGTGTGACTGCACATATATATTATATTGCATGTAAATACACGTATGCAGTATACTGCACATTTTTAAAATTTACATATGTGTACAGATCATTGTTTCTGAGGACAGATTAGAGCTTCAGCTTTTTAAACTTGCACAGTTATTAAAGGAATAAAGCCAACCACAACATAAGAATCAACGGAATGTGGTAATCCAATCATAGAGGATGAAGGACTTAACTATGATAAAAAAAACGAATGCAAACACTGTAACTTTGATGACACTACAAGGTGAAGAGTATGTGAAAAGGTGGAGAGAAACATGGGAGCGCTCAGTTCCTCATTTCGCAGGGATGAGAGCAGAGGTGTCTGCAGATGGCAAATCAAGAAATAAAAAATTAAGGTGTATTATTCAAAGATACAATGACAGCTAAGAGAAAACTAAAAACTAAACTGTCACTTAAAGCTTGGGAAGCCGATGAGATTGGTTGTAGAGTACGTGAGACAACGTGTTTTAAGGTTTATATGGTCATTGGTATGGTTTAAGGTAATTAAATCAAGAAATAGCAGTAGAAGTGTATTACACATAAGATGGAATTAACTACCAAAAAACTCAAAATATAAGCAGTAGTCACCTCCTGGGACTGTGACCGGCTATGGGATGAGAATGTGGCCTTTCACATTTTATTTCATAATAATCTGTTCAGTCGGACTTTTCATTATCACATGAATATATTATTGTTACACTTAAAAACCTCTGCCTTTTAAAAGAGGAGACCATTTGTATTGGACGGTGCTGGCTCATAACCATTTCCTCTATGATGTTTGGTGTGTCAGGATGAGAAAAATCTGACCAAGCAAATTCCAAAAATAAAAATTTGGCTTAATTTTTTTCTGATGTAGTGTACAAGGAAGCTACCTTTGGAATGCCTGTAGAATTTGGAATCAAAAGAAATAGTAATCCTAGAAAAAAAAGTATATATATATATATATATATATATATATATATATATTAATTGAAGTGATTAGTTATAATGTGTCAGTTTCTGGTATACAGCATCATGTCTCTGTCATGGCCTAGAAAAATCTTTTAATAAATTTCTATGCCTCCATCTTCCCACCCTTCAATGGGGTCCTAGCCCATCATATTTCACTCCTTTATTCAAGATCCCAAGGAGATGAGCGTGTAACTCCTCAGCTATAGGAAACCCTGCCAGTGTTTTTCTCAGATGACATGAGTCAGGAGTGGTGGAGAAGAGCAGGGAAGTTCTTAGGAACTTCAGGCATGCAAATGAACATCTCAATCCTTTCAATTACTAGTCTTGATTTCTACATCAACAGCTCCAAGCTCCCTGTGGCAGAATCAACGTTCTGCATGAAGATATTCTGAGGAAGCTTCTGACTTACTGACCACCCTGCAGCCATCCACCCACACGGCTCATGGCACACCTGGGAAAAACACGTCAGTGATGGGTGGAGAGCTTCCTTCACAGGAACCTGCAGCCGGTCGCATCCTGCTTTCTCAAAACCCTGAATTGCAAGCATCTGTCAGCAGACACTGGGTAACAACAGCACCCATCCCACTGCCCTGGGCTCTGAGAGGACTCCCACTCCCATGCCCCACTCACAGGCATGGCTCTCCTCTCTCCTAAACAAAGGGCTCTCCAGTTCCTCTCCCCAGAGCTGTGGCGTTTCCACGGGGTGCACTGGGTTAGGGATGGGGGCAGACAGGAAATACACAGAAAGTAGGAAACAAAAATGATTTGTGCAAGCCCTCATCTGGGAGGCCTGCATTCCTGGTCGCCTGCATTTATGATATTAAGGGGAAATGACAATCAGGCAGTCCATGAGTTAGTATGAATCAGATCTTTGTTTCTTGGCAAACCCCGCCTGCAAAGCTGAGTTCAAGGTTCCCACTGACTTGCAGCAACAATTTTCTAGAAATGACTTTAAACTGCACCCGATGCCCATTCTCCTCCCTCCAGACCAGAAAGAGTAAGACAAGGTGACTACACAGCTGGATGTCCTGTGGCTTATGAAAGGAGCCACCTCCACGCAGTGCCTATGCGCTCCCCCCAAAGCTGGGAACAAGGTAAGAAATGGGTCCCCCCGAGGGACTAGGGAGCAGGGAAAGAGACCCAGCAGGAGTCGTTATTCTCCTGGCTCCGCCAGACGCTACCCACATCCCTGGGCTGGATGCTGCCTCTGAAGCCCAACCTGCCCTCCCCAATCACCCTGCAGCCAAAAGTAGCTCAAGGAGGCGGCCAGAAAATTCTCCAGTCCAGGCAAAAGGAAGAGACAAGACCATGGGGTTGAAAGAGGGAGGGCGAATCGCTTCATTCATGTGTTGATTCCTTTCCAAGTTCAAAAAGCTTGGACTGTTCATTCATGTGTCCTTTTCATTCATTTGGGAGGCAAGTCGTATCTTCTCCAGCTGATAAACAATGACATCACAGCTCAGACCCGATTCAGATCGTAGTCAGTTTGCACAGATAGGACCGAACTCCGTTCCTTGACCTTCCTGTTTTAGGGTCCTTTTTCCCCAGGTCACATTACCAGCAGATGTCATCATCCGACCAGCAGGCAAATACTTGGCAACAGAAATTTGAGCCATTTGACCAGAAGCTAGGGTTTGAGGGGATGTTTGCTAGAGAGAGAGAGAGAGAGAGAGAGGAGGCTTGTCTTCCCCACACAGAGCTGGGGAACTGGGTCTCACATCGAGCGAGCCCCAGCTCTATGGCGACTTTCACTTTTACAGTCAGTGATGCCCAGGTTCCATTCAGATCTTCTGCTTTGCTGAAACCCTGCCACCTAAAAAAAAAAAAGAGAAGGTGTTCTTTAAACTATGTGTTTTCCTGCAGACCTGAAATAGAGTTCCAAGGGGTGTGCTTTTATAGTATTATTATGTTTTATTTGTTTTTGTTACTTATCCCCACTGGTTGTTGAGTCAGCTACACATCCTGGAACAGGTGGGCTCAAGTCTCTCCCATTTTAATGTTAATTTCTACATGAACAGAATAAACATGAATGCCTTGATATCTCGTTTTCCTGCGCTGATGGAAATTAAAGTCCCACCTTTCTCACACCGGACATCTCGCTGTTTTGATGATCCTGCACTATTAACATGGCAGCAGCCACAGCAGGTCGCCGTGGAAAGACCCATTAGCTCATCCAACCCCATCTCTCTGCCAGGACAGGATACAGGCCCTAAAAATGCTTCCTGGTCTAATGGCTGCTTAGGGGTTTATTTATCCGAGGTTACAGCAAACACGGCTGCAAAAAACAGGAAATAGAGTCTCACCTCAGTTAATTATGATTCTGGTTATAACAATGCAGCAGGCAAAGCTCACACCCCCACACGAGGCCGCTGGGACCTCATCCCTGATCAGGGAGCCGAAGCCACAGATCTGACCACCCTCATCAGACCTTGGGAGTGTTGCAGAGTTTCACCTCCCGTCAGATGGGTGCCCGATCAGAAATAAAGAAAATTATGTCAGCTTGTGAAGTTCTGAAATTGGTCCTCATTCACTGAGCTCCGTAAGGGGGTAAATCGGTTGTCCCGTTTGCCTCTGATTGTGGCCAACACATGAATGCTCAACAAAATTCTAATTAATGAAGACTGAGTGAAAAGGAGTGACAGTTTCTCAGGAGTGAGGGGAAGGAAGCAGTACAGGAGGGCTCTGGGTTCGTGAGAGTAAGGGAGCCTGGGTGAGTAATGTCTCAGCTCCAACTCAAGAAGCATCTTCCCTGCTGATAACCGTTCGGTTGACGGTAACAGCTGGCGCTCGGCACGTACTCATTCCTTACCAGCATCATCTCCGAGCTGAACATTGGACATGCGTTATCTCACTTAATAATCTTTCAGGGAGGCTGTTTTATTATTCCTGTTTTGCTGAAAGAAAAATAAATGAGGATGAATAATTTGTCTAAGGTCACATTACAAATAAATATGAATTTAAATTCAAGTTAGTCAGATTCTTCAGCCCATATTATGGACCACAATATTCTCCTGCCTTTCCGCTGTTGGTCTATTTTTGGAGAAGCAGTGCTTTCAGAGAAGAGAGGTGAGGGGCAAGGTCATCGCTGTTATTCATCAGGTAGTTCTAACTCTGCCCTCACTTCTGAGGGGTACTAGTCCTCTAGCCAATATAAAGTTTCTCAAAAGTCTAACCAGATGT